ATGCAATACTGTACGAGCATACTCTACTTGTTTTATATGACTTTATTGAAAACATGAGTGTTTTTTTGGTACCTTGTTTAAAAGTTGTAGTACTTGTGCTTTTGGATAGTTTGTTTAGTATTTGTAACTTTTTGTGTTATGAAATTACGATGACATAAAAGGCGTTTCTTTTTCAAAAGAGGCCTTTTTGGCTAAATAATTAGCAAAACCGACCGTTCTGCTAATTATTTAACAAAATCGACTTCTTTTTGAAAGTCGGTTTTGCAAAAATAAGCTTTTCAAACATATAGGACTAGTAGTCCCGTATGTTTAGTGGCCAGTAATTGGCCACTAAACTTAACTCAGAAAACCTACGAGACTAGTAATCACGTGGGTTTTCTGAACTGTGCAAAGAAAACGCACGGGACTACTAATCCCGTGCGTTAATTAGATACTAGGCGTTATCGCCCAGCAAATCAACGGGACTAGTAATCCCGTGGATTTATCGGGCCTATATAAGCCTGGCTGTGCCCAATAATTAGGGCACATCCTCCTCTCTCTCTAACCTCTCGATCTCTCACCTCTCTAAACCCGATTTTCATCCACCCTCTGCCAATCTCTCTCCCTCAATAACCCTAACGCCATTCCATTATTTCTCTCCAAAATCACCTCTTTCTCCCTCAATTTTCTCTCTCTTATTCTCACGAAACCCATTCTCTCCCAACCCAAATAGAGATCTTCCCCAAAGTTCACGCCAACATTGTTGAAGTCTGACACCGTCTCCTCTCCAACGCCGACGAATTTCAGATCTTCATCAAAGTACAAATTTCGATTTTTTTCCCAACAAGCAAGATACATACCAAGGGGTGTAGATGAAAGAGAATTGGTAAGTAAAATGCATAAATTTAAATAGTTTTTTTAATCCATTAGCTTTTGGTTGCTTATATATATAATTATATATTTTCATGTGATTGCAGATAGACGATATAGATGAGATAGAGGTGATTGCAAATAAAGGCATAGCTACCGCCAAAGGAGATTTAATGCATGTATCGGTACTACAGCAGATAGTGGGGAGGGTTCGTAAAACTCTTCAACGAATTCATGAGAATCGACATGATGGTCGCGAGCAGAGACGACATATGTGCGCCGACAAAGACGAGGTGAATCTTGCTCGTATGACAATGAAGTTGGTCCGTCACAGAAAACTGGTCCATCATAGCACCACACACAACCGGAGAGCGAGCATGTATAAGCTCAAATCGAAGGAGGACGTCGACGATCGAAGCGGGTACGAAGAGGGAGATAATGGGGGAGGAACAGACTTTTAGGTTGCATGTGATAGTTTATTAGTTTTTTTGCTTAGACTATATCTGTCGTATGGATAGATATGATAGACTTGATATATTTGGATTTATTTGGACTATTTTGTCGTATGTATATGTATATGATGTAGCTATTGTGTTGTGATGTTGTGGATTCATTAAATGTGCTTTTTATCTAGTGTTTATTTCTTAAAATTTATAAGTATATAAATATTATATGGTATAACAATTATATGAAGTTGATGTTATATTTTCGTAGCCCAAACAAGTCTGCCAAGCAATGTATATGAAGCAATATAGCCCCGCGCATGTTCTGTGCACTTTTGTGGTGTGCCCATGGCAATATAGCCCAACTCTCTGCTTAATGCACGCGAGAGTAGTCCTGTGCTTTTTGTTTGGGAGTTCAGAAAACCTACGGGACTAATAGTCTCCTAGGTTTTTTTGAGCTCACATTAGTGGCCAATTACTGGTTACTAAACATACGAGTCTACTAATCCTATATGTTTCAGAAACTTCTTTTTGCGAAACCGACCTCTTTTTGACCTATTGACCAGAAAGAGGTCGGTTTTGCGAAATAATTAGCAAAATGGTTGTTTTTGCTAATTATTTAGCAAAAAGACCTCTTTTGAAAAAAAAACTCCAACATAAAAAATCATGATGATATACGTAAACATTGTAATCATTATGATGACCTTATTTGTTAAAAATAATGCCAATATTTTGTATTTTATTTAAAATTTAAAAAATAATACGAGTAACTTGTGATATACATTATGGTGTATAACTTTTTACGTTATTCAGAAATGAGTATTAAATTATATGTTACTGTTATTTTCAACACTGATGAAAAATAGCTCAAGAATAAATTATTTACAATGTCTAAAATCCTAGATATCCTCTATTAGTTTTCCAATTAGCATGATCATCTTTGCAATTAAGTTTCCTATTAGTTTTATTGCACAATGGATATGTCATATTTTCTAGGAGGAAACATTAAACAGTTCTTGACGTTTAGCTTATTAGTCATTCAACTTCAAATCCACTTTTTTCAAGATTTTTGTTGTTAGTCTAAAAACAAAAAAGTAATATAATTAAGCTTTTTTACTGCTAACCATCAGTAGTAGCCACAAGATCGAAGGTCGAGAAGTATGAATTGGTTAAACAACTACATGTTTCAGACCAATAAATAAAACTAGTGGGAAAGAAATTTTAGAGTGTTTATATCAGGATTAAGATGACAGGTTAACTATATTCAACCCAACTTAGAAACCTTTGTAATCTTTTTTCCTGTTTTTCTCAAAAGAAAACTGATACATCTAAATAATTTGTAAGTTTCAACTATCAACAAGAAAAGAGGACGAACTAAGACTTCTACAGATCAATGGGATCTCATTCCTTATTCCTTACTGTGACTTTTAGTTCATTTTAAGCATTGCTTTCACCACGTACAATACCTTTCTTCACTAGAGAATCTTACAACTAACTCCACTGCCTTGATACCCTTAACCAATCCCTATTCCTCTTCACACCTCATTTGAATTGGGACTCACAAGCCCTTAATCTCACTAATCCAAGCCATGACAACCCTCAACACAATAATCCAACACCAACCATATTCAAATCTTCACCTCAAACATCTCACAAACAACATCTCATCTCCCAAATCCATTACTCTTCTTCATCCACTGAAGGGGACCAACATCTCTAAATCTTTTGTGCCTCATTGTACTCCTAAAAATTCAGAGCCCAACAATGGACTTTACAAAGCATCCAAATGGCTCTACACTTCAATGAAAAATCAAAATGTCCAAGAATTCATTGAAGTTATAGGGGATGACCGTAGAGGCTTTCGTTATGATCCTTTTACTCTCTTTATCATCAAATCTTTACTGAAGCAGGTAAACATTATATTCAACACTTCGTAGCGAATCATTACTAAGCACAAGTTCCTGAATGCGTATGTTTTTGTAGCAATGCTCGATAGTGTTATCATCGCTTATGGTATTTATCGCGAACCATTTGGAGGTTGTGGTGAAACCGATAACAACAGGAGGGGTACCTGACATTGGCCTAAAATGGAACTTTGGTCTGTTCTAAAAACTCACAATACATTCATAGAAATGATATACAAATGTACAGTCATCTCCAACCATTTTATTTTGTTTCCTTCAAATCTTGTAGAATGGAGTAACAACTATATACCTCTGGGACCGGCTTGCAGTCTCTACACCACTCATATGTATACTGGAAAAATACTTCTAAGGTGAGAAGAGAATGCTAGTAATAACATGTGAAGAACATTTGTGCTAATTTAGTTGCTACATATGAATATTACAGGAATGGTAAGGCGTTGATTGCGCCACTGCTTCCCTTGGAACTCCTCAAGAAGGTAAAGAAACAAGCATAAAAAATCTTTACACATAAGTTTATGCCAATGAATTCTCTTTTCTCTTCTAAATTTTTTTTTTACTGGCAGAAAATGAAAGAAGTTGTGATACCTATCTTTGGCAAAATTTCAACAGCAACCGTCTTCAAAGGCAAGAGGAAGTCTGCTCTGCTGACTTGCTTGCTGGCTATACTCTTTATGGTCATATCTGTAATTTTATGGAAGAACACATTATAATGCAATGAAAGCTGATATTAGCTTAGCTAGTGACTGTGTACAATTCGCAATCAAATTCAACATGGAGTCAAAAGAAAATTCTAAAGGATTACGAAGCAAAAGGCATCTGCATGAATCAGAGTCAATTGATTAGTAATTGTAAAGGCAGAACTGATATAAAAAGAACGCATATTCACTAGTTAAGCTTAAGAGAACAAATAATTTGATAAGATGGAGCAAATTAGGAGCCTGGATGAAGCCCAGCCACAAGAAGAGGTCGAAGAGCTGGTAGTTTTCAAGAAGCTAGTTCTACGGTGTGCTCTTTCCTGTTGCACTGCTACCAGCATTTGCTCAGTGTCATCATCTTTGCTCATTATCTCCTGTTACACCAGAAATAAAGACAGCGAGTGAGCTAAGAAACACCTAACCCAAATCCCAGCTCCAGAAAGTGCTTAAATAGCGTGATAAAGAACTATACAACAGCAGGTTCAACGCTTTGTCCATAAACCTCCCAGCTCCTGCTACGCTAACATTTTTTTTTCATCTTTGCTGAAAGCAGGAAGGCAAGCGATTGTGAATATGAACCTTAATTATTACAATTGCCCACACATCCAGCACTCACTCAAACCTGCGGTAAACCGCATCCGGGAAGTAGCATATAATAGCTGTTGATAGTGTATTGTAGTGGGTTTTAGTCCCACATTGCTTGGGAGAACAAACCTCACACTCCTCTACTTGTATAAATATATGTGCATACTCAATATTCAATTCAAGGGAAATTTACCCAAGATTCTCTCTCTCTTACTTTAACATGGTATCAGAGCTAGGGCTATTTCCCTTCCAATAAATTTTTTTAACGCTTCTGCGTTCTTTTGCCAAATCTTGGCCTTATTGCATTGCAGCCGTTTAATGTTTTTTTTCTGCCATATATTTTGGCCTTGTCGCTTTGCGGCCTCTTAACGCGTTTCGCGTTCTCGTTTAAACCTTCGGGTTTTCATTCTAACCTTCGGGTTCTATTTTAACGGTATTATCGTTTCAAGACCGTCTCTCGGTCTTAAATTAACGGCATCGTCGTTTTAAGCCGTCTCTCGGCCTCAAACGAACGGCATTGCCGTTTTGCAGTCAGTAACGGCATCTCGACATCTTAACGTCTCAACATTGCTGTTATGGCTCCTTCAGAGAAGATTCTCAAACCACCTTTGCCCCTCAATGATCAAAGTGACTGGGCAGGGTGGTCCACCATTGTCACCAATGCCTTGCGTGGCGCTGGTTTGCTTGATCATATCACCAGTACGGGACCAGTTCCATTGTCCATCAGCACTGTTGCTTCATCCAGTACTATTACCTCTGACAGTGGTAATGTCGATCTTCAGACTGCTCGTGCTCTCTATGTCAAGGAGAGTTCAGAGTGGCAATTGTAGGAATTTCGTGTCATGGATTATCTCACTCGTTGTGTTGGCTCTGGTCTCACTGTCGAGATTGGCTCCCTTCCCTCTGCTCAGGCCATGTGGACTCGTCTCACTGAGCGTTTCACTGAGTGCTCGGGTGCACGGGAGGCATATCTTCTGCAACGCATTTCTCTACAACGCAAAGGTAGTTCATCTCTGCAGTCCCATTTTGGACAAATGCAAGCTTTTTGGACAGAGTTACGCTCCATGCTTCCTGGACGTAATTCCACATATGAAGACTGGCTAGCCTGGTACAAACGGTATGAGGTGCATCAACTGTTTCAGTCCCTTCCTGAATATTCAACTATGGCTGATCAACTACTTCATCAGTCTCAATTTCCGACTTTGGCCTCAGTTATGGGAGCTCTCACTGCTTATGAGACCCGGCAGCAGACAACACGACTCAATTTGTCAACAGACACTCCTACCTCTTCACTCGAGACTGTTTTGTCTTTACCTGTCATTGCTCTTGTTATGAATCATACTTCTCCACAGGCTCCCTCTCCACAGGCTCGATCTAAGCTCTCTTGCAAATATTGCAAGAAGGAAGGACACCGTATTGAGACATGCTTCAAGCTTCATCCTGGGTTACGTTCCTTAGGTACTGGTCGTGGTCGGCGACTGTACACGTTTAAAAATACCTATAGGTATGAATATACCTATCTAAGTCAAAGGAGATCATCCAAAGGCAAAATAAACAAAGAAACATAGAAGAACAATATGAACACCCACGATAAGGAATACTGACGCGCATAGGCGCGACAGTGAAAGGTGTTGTGCTCACAAACAGAGTGATGTGCCTATAGGAAGTTATAGAGATCTTCGATAGCTTTCCAACGCATCTTGGATTACCTCATTCCGACATCGGACGAGGAAGTTAGAGATAAAATACCCGAGAGGTCGCAAACTGCATCGGAGGTGCGCGGCAGTGTACACTGCCGCGGCAATAGCGCGACAGTATAAGGTGACGTGCAAATAAACAGAGTGAAGAGCCAATGAGAAGTTTTAGAGCTCTTCGATAGATTTCCAACGCATCTTGGATCACCTCATTCCGACATCGGACGAGGAAGTTAGAGCCAAAATACCCGAGAGGTCGCAAACTGCATCGGAGGTGCGCGGCAGTGTACACTGCCGCGGTAATATACTGTACATTTAAACCATGATATGATCAAAATCTGAAGAAGCTCAAAATATAAAAGTTGTAGATCTCTTCGTTAGCTTTCCAACGCATCTTGGATCACCTCATTCCGATATCGAACGAGAAAGTTAGAGCCAAAATACTCAGGAGGTGCGCGGTAGTGGTAACTGGCGCGGCAATGCGCGACACCACGTACTGCCGCGGCCACTGGGAAGCTGAACATGTTATTTTTGACAGTTTTCTCGAGTTTTGTGCAGCCCACATGGCTTATTAATTGCTGGGGGTCACTTATGAACGTGGGGGAAGCAGTTACAAGTAAAAATCATGCCCACTACCCACGAAAATCGTGACAAAAGTCGTGAGATGGCGGTTACAAAACTAAAAAGGGGAACCACTCCTTTGACCGCGCCACCCCTAGCTGCCGCGCCCAAATGGGCAGTTGTTAATCGGTTATTTTCTTCAGTTATCATCCAATGAGGGTATAAATACTCCCCTAGGACCATCATTGACAAAGAGAGTAGATTGGAGCAGAAAAGGCTTGAGCTTTTGGTGAATTGGAGCAAGAGAGAGAGTCTTCCTTCTTCACAAATATCCTCAAGAAGCTTTTGGTGATTCCTAGAGATCTAAGCTCTGACTTGATCTTTAGAAGAGTGAACATCTTACATCGATAAGATATTCGCTTTAAATTCTTACTTCGATAAACGAAGGAAGAATCCCCAAAACCTTCACGATTCAATCAGAATCTGTGAATCGGTGGTCCACGGGCTAACGCACCCCCGGCACAGGCAAAGATCCCACGCAAGCAGCGATCCAAACAACGATCCTGTGTTTGTTTCTAAAAAGTTATAATTTTCCTTTTGTTGTGTAAAAGAAGTCTTATAAAAAGATAATTTCTTTTGAATTTGTTGTAATCGACCGAAGATATAACGAATTCCACAATGAAACCAACTTTTGACGAAAACAAACTGGCGACCACAGTGGGAGCCAACGGTCTCGCTGCCGAGACCGTCGTGTCGCAGCCGATCAAGATTCCAGTTGAATCCACGGTCGAATACGAGTTTGACCAAACCAAGTTTGAGGAATATCTCTCATCATCCTCTTCAAGATCTTCATTATCTCGCAAGTACAAGAGGATCTCATCATTGAAGAAGGCTTATACGCCAAAGAAGGCTAAAAGTGAAGACTCTCGCCCAATCGTTGTTGAGGCCTTGCCTCGCAACATTATCCCGGCGACCCCCAAAGCCAGAAGCTCTGCTCATAATGATTCCACCCTAATTAAGGAGTCGTTCGATCGAAGTTTGCCAACTCTGACGAAGAGGGCTCGTCAGAGGCGACGCCAACGCCGCGCTCGTCAATTGGCTAATGCCTTGGAATAAACCGATGGAGTTCGTTACTATGCGGACTTAGAATCGAGGAAACATCAAGTGGTTCAGTCGCCTCAACGTCAAATCACTCACATCTCAGCAAAACTTACGTCAGAAGAATGGACTCTTGTCAAAAGGGCCCGTTCGACCCTCAAAGAACGCATACAAAAGCGTATGGCAAACACCGCTCATGCCCGTGCTCTTTTACACCAAAGAATCACAAAGTATGGATCCCCAAATCCAAACTCGTACGAAAATTGGGTCTGCAGAACACAACCTTTGACCGCGGCAGTCTTCACTGCCGCGACATCTCCTTCAACCGTGGCAGTCTTCGCTGCCGCGGCACACTGTTCGACCGCGACACCAATCACTACCGTGGCCAAAAGAAGTTTCACAAGAGCACTCCTTCGACTCCATCAACGTCCGTTCCGGGTCCGTCTACTGTGTCGACACCCGCTGTGTCACCAGTGAAACCTTAGGTCAGTCCTGACCTATCGAAATCCAAAATTATAATGGCGGATGGCCTCGATCCTTTACCTGAAGATAGAGGCAAAGCTCCGGTCAAAGAACGCTTGGGTCCGGTGAATGAACCCCAAATAGATTCTTACATTGGGGGTCGTAAGTATCCTCCGATCAAGTCAAAACAACTCTAAGATGGGAAAACCCTAATTTCTACCCGTTTGGGAGTTCGTAATGAAACTCAGGAGCCCTTTAAGACTTTGCACTCGCAAGGGGGTGGTTCTAAACATGCGACTCCTGATGTGATCTTGGATCGCTCAAATGCGACAACAAGTTGTCCTGAGAACGCCAACAAGGCTTTACATCCTCAGAAAAAGACATGTTCGTCAAAAAACATTGTTATACCTGGGGGCTCATACCAACAAACGATAGGATTCTCCGGTAATTATACCGATGAGTTGTACTATCAAGTTGGGGGAGTGAACAAAACACGAAAGAGGAATATCCGAGAAATGAGCTCTCCTTGTTTCTGTATGCGACTCATTAGAGCAGTACTGTCAGAATGTGACTACTCCAAACGAGAAGCCATGCTGCAAAGAGTCTCAGTGTTCCAGAGGCTTTT